AAACTTAAGTTATCTCACAGAGATAGCTCTCATACACCCGACACAAGGGTAATAGCGCTATAAAGAAATCCAAAATTTTGGTCAGCACCTTCGGGGTGCTCGATTCCAACCAGACGAGTCGTATAAGCCGAGAACCTATCGCGGACTCTAAATCGGTATGGAATCAGGTTGAAATCGCAACAGGAAAAACGAAAGCCGAGTAGTCATCGCAAAGCCTCAAACCGAAACTAAACCTAGGTCTTGCCCTAAACCCAGCACACTGGTCTCTAACGTCTCAAGGCATGATTCGAGATCCTAAAGGCATGTCTCTTCGTTCATATCTAAACGCTCACCAAATTTCGAAACATTCCGGAACGGGCAAACGAACAGGGTGATCTACAAAATGAGTTAGACTATGAGACGACAACTCAGACTCTTCCCTCTACATTCATACGAATAAAAACACGCTCTTAAAACGCAAACTGATAATAAGGCCGCAAAGCGGCAGGGACTCAGGGCCACACACGGCCAGTCCAAAAACTATAACGGCCACACTCAGCCAGAGCAAAACGAACTACGAACGGCTTGATCCCTTCTACGAGGGTACGTAGGCAGTCTTCAAAAGGCGCAGCCACAATCCTACTACATTCAACTCTTAGTAAGTGAACAGACCGCTTTCCGCGAATCTTTTAGCCATTAATTCCGCCTAACTTACTTAACTTGCCTAAACCGCTCGCAAGAAACATCACGATTCATACGAGCTGGGGGGCTAACTGTTGGGGTCAAAATTGGTACAACGGAATTAATAGCCAAAACTCCCCGCGAAAATACAAAAAGAGTAGTTTTATAAAACCCAAGGACTAGTTTTATAAAACTCAAAGTCATTTATGGAACTCGTAGACTGTTTTATAAAACTCGAAGATCGTTCTATAAAACTCGAGAATCGTTTTATAAAACTCGAGAAACGTTTTATAAAACTCGAGAATAGTTTTATAGAACTCGAGAATCGTTTTATAGAACTCGAGAATCGTTTTATAAAACTCGAGAATCGTTTTATAAAACTCGAGAATCGTTTTATAAAACTCGAAGATCGTTTTATAAAACTCGAAGATCGTTTTATAAAACTCGAGAGATCGTTTTATAAAACTCGAAGATCATTTTATAAAACTCGAGAGATCGTTTTATAAAACTCGAAAGATCGTTTGATAAAACTCGAAGATCATTTTATAAAACTCGAAGATCATTTTATAAAACTCGAAGATCGTTTTATAAAACTCGAGAACTCGTTTTGCAAAACCACGAAAAACCGAAACCGCCGCAGAACGCGAACTAGTCACGACTAGTTTTATAAAACTAGTCACGACTAGCTCGCCTGCTGGCGAACTAAGCCGAGCTGGCTTAGTTCGCCAGCAGGCGAACTAGGAGCTTCTCCACTAGTTCGCCTGCTGGCGAACTAAGCCGGCCCAGCTTAGTTCGCCAGCAGGCGAACTAGGAGTCCCTCGACTAGTTCGCCTGCTGGCGAACTAAGCCAAGCCGACTTAGTTCGCCAGCAGGCGAACTACTGACTTTGCCCCACTAGTTCTTTTCGCCTAGTTCGCCATATGGCGACCTGGCCAAACTGAACTAGCTCGCCGTACATCGAGCCGACCATCCCGAGCCTCGATCTCCCACATCCTTGATTCAAGGCATACGTCCTTCGACACAATCGTATTCCGAATCACGGTCGAAATGTCTCCCGTTTCGTCTCGATCCGTCCTATCGTTCGAGTTTTACGATAAAAACCGTAAAACTTTGTTTTCTCGAAAAGAACTCGAGGAAATCGTATAAAACGGCAACGGTTAAACGAAACACCGAATATTGCCTAAACTATACGATTTATTCGAGATTTTTCGTAAAAATCATACAAAACACGTTTTTAATAAAATCCCGAGTAAATCGTAGAAAACGGCAGCGATTAATCGAAACATCAAACATTGCTTAGATTTACGATTAACTCTAGAAACTTATCTAAAAACGGCATCGTATCAGGAAACGATCTCGTCTAAAGTCGTAAAACGGATTTATCGCAAAACGGCTCGGAAAGTCATAGAACGTGATAAAAGCCACTCGCGACTTTAAACGAAGTCCAACCCGAAGATACAACGAAGTTTTGGCGATTTACTCGCAGAAAGAAGATAAATGTCAAACTTGAAGATAAAAGTCAAGTTTGACGATAAATAGAAGATTTCCGCGGGAAAAAAGGAAAGATCGAGACAAATGGAAGATTCTCATTAAGCTCGAATCTGGGCGAAATGGAAAAACTAAACTGCCTAGGAAGGGAGTATATAATCAAGAGGCATAGGGCATAAGCAGGGGGACGAAATCCAGAGCTCTCATCTGAGACTTTCACAACTTTTCTAGACTTAGAATTTTCCGCACTTAGAAACTTAGGCTTTTTCTCGACAAGTTCGGTTTCTATGACTGGCGCTCAATTACTAGACGAACTCGCCCAGGCAGTTCGATCTCTGGTCCAGCTCTACCAACTGAACTACGTTCGACTTGATCCNCGCAACGCTCTTACGCGAATCGGAAATAAGATCGACTTTCTTCATAAATTCGTTTTACTATGTTTTTCATATTTTTCCGCATTTATTTGGTTACTTGTCGTTGGCTTTCGCAGAGATCCGGTTCCTCTGGAAAATTAGGGTTTTCCTAAGTTTCCTTATTTAACGAAAATCGACAAGTGTGAATTTCGGTTCCCACAATTGCAACCCTACTTATCATAGGTTCAAAGGGAAAACAAAATCAAACAGAAACTAACCAAAGCACTTGAGACAAAGTAGTCTCTTCCCAGCTCCTAAGATGATAAAAGTGCTAATGAATGTGAAAAGGATAAGCTTAAGCTTTTAATGATTCCAGAGCTTCTAAAGCAAGTATTACTCACTACTTTTCATGGCCAGTCACCTAGTGAGTGTAAAGTGAGGCCGTTTCTAGGAGAATGAATACAAGGCTATATTCTCTAAGTTCACTCATGAAAACCAGGAATAGTTCAAGGCCACAATGAACACAATAGAGAACTAACTTCTACAGGAAAATGAAGCTGCGTTATGCATGTTATCTCTGTTTACATAAAAACACCGGTTGGTTCAAGACATCATGTTCATCTTCTGGTAAAGTAAACCCGACATATACTAACTAAGAGTGGTTCAAGGCTCAAAAATGCCACCAACTCAAACACAGTGAATTTTTCACAAACACTCTTGATAAGTCTGTCTAGTCTAGTTATGATTAGAATAAATTTTTGTTTTTAGGGTCTATCAAGTCTGCATATGTTTAGAGTCATTTTTATTCATATGGTGGATTATTGGATCAAATAAACCCAAATGGGTTTACTTAATACTCTGAAAGAAATGGGCCAATGGGCAAGTGTATTTAAAACCTATTTGGCACAAATAAAAGGAGGAAGAGAAGCAAAGTCCCACATCGGGCAACTTGCTCTCATGTGAGTAACATATATATATATATATATATATATATATGTTATCACACCACAACTTATTAAACAACTTGGTGAGAGAGAAAGGCTTCCACGCGCGCACCGCCGCTACCTTCCGGCCGGCTCGGGCTTAGATGGAGGGCCTTTGGCCCGATAAGAAGTTATCTTTTTGGACCAAGTTAAGTTCAACGATTTGCCATTTAAACTTCAAAAAACAGCATGCAATTTTATTTAAAACGATAATTAGTTTGTCTAACAAATAAAAAACGTCACGGGGATAAATTTTTGTAACTTAAACTTCCCAAGATCTTTGCCAAATTCCCACTAACGGACACACGTTACAGGAAGTCGCTCCTTGTCTTCTCATTAAATATCGTCTCTTCTCTTTCTTCATTCTGACAATTTCTTACTTACATAAATCCAGCAAAAACTCTCAAAGTAAGTCGACAGAGTGTTTCGTAATTCTTAGTTGGTTAGGGCGTTTCACGAGTGAAGCGTCGCCATGGTTTTATCTTGGGACTATATTGGTACAGAGTTGTCTCACTACGGAGCGAATATTCAGAGTTAAGGAAAAAGATCATATCTCGACTCTATGTATCATTATTCTTATTATCCTCTTTAGAATCAGCCATTTCCTTTAACTCGTATCTATTAAATCTTTTATGTCGATTCGGTTTACCGGCTTCAACAATGCTTGACTATATTGTAAGTATTCTTATTCATGGTAAGTTTATTACTGTTCTGTCTACATGGCAAGTCTATTATTGCATCTTTGTCAAGAACGCAAACCAGTATTACAAACTTCGAGATTTACTTGGAGATGTCCAAACTCGGAAGTGAAACACCAAACATAGCAAAACAACACCGAAACATAGCAGAACAACACCGAAACATAGCAAAACTAGAAACTACAGGACACGATTCTGATTCACTTTGAGATTTTTGCCGCTAGTTCTCTAACAAGCTTAGCGGCGACCATGGCCGTCATGCCGTCGACAGTATCACGCTGCGGGTTGAACTCGACAACATCAGCCCCGACCACGTTTCCTTGAAGATTATGTAAAATATTAAGAACGTCTCGGAACGAGAGACCTCCTGGTTCGATGTGTGACACTCCAGGTGCAAACGCCGGGTCAAGACAGTCAACATCAATGGAGATGTACACACCCTTCACTCCTTCCCCTAGTTTCTGTACAAACCCATTATAACCGAACCGAACTCTAGTTTAAAACCACAGTTTAACTCGTCTTCTCTATAAAAATTCAGGGAAGAGACAGAGATACCAAATTTTCCAAAACTTCGCGATCTCTTGAGAAAGTTCGCATCTCATACTGTTCTACTCCAAATCTCTTGCCTTGTTCTCGTCCTTCCTTGTTTATCGATCTGATCCCAACCTATACAGTAAAGGGTTGATTCTCCTTAGTATTATCTTTCCTAGAGATAGAACAGTGACACAGAACCTACCTGTAAAAGGCGCCGAGCATAGCCACCTTCCATGATACGAGCAAAGGAAGAGGCATGGGAGTACTTGTTGCCTTCGAAACAGTCGTATATATCAGGATGTGCATCAAGATGAAGAATGTCCACAGGTCCTTCAAGCTTCTCAGAAACCGCTCTAATAACTGGATAAGATATGGAATGGTCTCCACCTAAGACCAGCGGACGCAATGGTTCCTGACTCAGCAAAACAAAAATCTTAGTTACTTTGGACTTTGCCAATCAAATCAGACTATAAACTGAAGCTATTGGTTACATAGCTTCTTACCTCTTCCATTACAAGCTTTACAGATTCGCTTATTACATTCATTAGTCTATCATCATCAACTCCACAATCTCTGATCTCTTGTACCGGAACATCTCCAACATCAGTTAGAACCCGTGGATCATTTAGCTCCTTCCCTACAATATATTACCAGAGTTTAATCTGATTAATACCTAAAATATTAATAAAACCAGCGAATATTTTATGCTACCTTCTTCAGTGGAGGAGTTGGTGCTACCACACCAAATAGCTTCTCTGATTCTTGGAGGAGCAAAGGCAGGACCTTGAAGGAAAGAAGAGTTGTGACCGAGTGGGACACCAAGAAGAGATGTTGAAGCTTTAGCTCCTCCTAAGAGACGCACTAACTCTCCCTACACACAATAATGATATGATTATATTTGTCATACAAACAAAAACAAAATGAAATGAAAGACAGCTACTTTGAGTTTTGCCCTTTCACGAATGAGAGTTAACGAAGCATCGATAACCCGATTCTGCCCTTTCTCGATCGAAGAAGCTGACACGGTCGTGAACGACGCGGAATTGAGTCGCTGTAAGTAGTGAATCCCTCTCTGCCCAATCTTCGACATATCTGGAATTTGTTTTCGAGTTTAGATCGGATTGTAATAATTTCCGATTCTTCGATAGGTGATAAAATCGGATTGAGAATGATGAGTTCCTTCGAGAAAACGACGAGTCAGTGACTATTATTAAACCAATGAGTAGTAGTCATTTTGGTTTTTATATCTTCTCTTTATTTTTCTTTTCCTTTTCTGTCCAATATCTTTTATTCTTGACTAAGATTATTTTTCTGTGCTACACACAGATTATATATTTTAAATTAGTATAGTTATATAATTTTTAATTAGCTTTTGTTTTGTTTTATATCTTATGTTGTTTTTATTCTTCTTAGGCTGCAAATAACATCAATAACAGTGTTGTAGTAAATTTTTGTTTCATATAGTGAAGCGAATAATAATTTCACATATTTCACAGTAAATTCATTTAAAATTTAATCATATTTTATATGTAAATTATTGGATTGAACTGGGGAGATTTATGTTTACTTGACCAGTTTAACTTAATTTTTTAATTATTTTATGTTTACTTAATGAATAGAAAATAGGAAATGGGAAATATTTAATGTAGTTTATTTTTTATACGGAACTTGTTTATTGTAAAATGTTTTATTATGAGAGACCAAAAATAATAGTACTTATCACTACAAAATGAGTAACATATTTTAAGCTATTTTCTAAATTTATAATATTATTTGTGTATACACTACAAGAAAACAGTCGGATTCCGAGGATAATTTTCCTCGGAATTCCGAGGAAAAAATTCCTCTAACAAATTTCATCGGAAAAAAATATTTTCTCTGAATTTGGTCAAAGACACCGAGAAAATACCAACGACTTTCGATGGATACATAATTCCACGAAATTCCGAAGAACAATATTTATCCGATTATTCCTACGGATACTTCGTCGGACTTTAACCGACGGAAAGGATCCATCAAAAATTTTCGACAAAAATACAGAGGGAGATCGTACTGTGGATATTCCGAGGAACTTGAGCCATCAGAATATTCCGAGAAAGTTGTCTCGTCGGAATATTCCAACGGCTCATGTTCATCGGAATATCCCGAGAACCTTTTCGTTGGAATTTTCCGAGGAAAAATTCGTCGAAATATTTCGACGGCTTTGCTTCCTCGGAAAATTCTAATTTTAAAAAAAAATAATATATAATAATTATCTTTTTTAAAAAAAATTATATAATAATTATTTGAAAATATAAATAAGTCGTCCGTCCAACGACTTACATGTAAGTCATCCAAGATAAGCAAGGTTTGACCAAAATCTCGGAATAAAATCATGGACGACTTACATGTAAGTCGTCTAGTAAAAAAATATTTTAATTTTAAAACTAACCTGGGACGACTTACATGTCAGTCATCTGGAAAAATAAAATATTTATTTTTTAATTTTTTATTGGATGATTTACACGTAAGTCGTCTAGAAAAAATCAAATTTCTGACACATTCTAGTCAAAGCAAAACTAATCTGTTTTCCTTAAACAACTTACATGTAAATCATTTTGAATTTGTTTTTTATCTCGAGACCCAAACATCCGGGATACATACCAACATCATTTGAAACTATGATAACAAAAGTTACAAGATCCTTTAAACCCTTTAACCATTGGGTTAGGTTTCGTGGAACAAGATGGAAATGCCAAAATTACACCGGGTTATCATAAATGTGAAACTTTTATTTTTTGCCATCTGAATTTTCATTAATAACTTGAGAAAGATACAAAGTTGAGATATTGAAGCCGGCAGAACACATATATATTCCCGGAAGCTAAACCCACAAAGAGGAGACAAGAACCCAAACATATGGGCTACATACCAACATCAAGAAATTAAGCTAACGACCTACACTCCTTTAACAAAACACAGACCCACCAGCCACAGATAAATGAAGTTACTGGTAATTTTCAAATGATCAGATTTCGAGTCTCGAATTTTCGGTTGTATTTTTGAGTTTCACACTGTCGGTCGCCGCCAAACTGAGCTTTATTCTCATGAGGATGAGCTAGCCGCATAGTCCAATGAGTAAGTGCAAAGATGACACCACAATAAAGTAGTACAGAAGTTAAACCAAGAGACAAAACACCAATAGCTTTATTAGAAACCGCCATGTACACTCTATTACAAGATCTGCTTAATCGGTTTTACACGTCTAGTGTTAACACTTTAACACACGCTACTGAAAGAATCCTAAGCTACTCACTTATGTCTCTTTGCCGTCAAGTACTTCAGCCTCTGCTTCAGCACGACCAAAGAACACCTTAAGAGCTTCTCTCTCTCTATAAGATCAGCCTCTGTGTCTCTTTCTCTCTACAGACGATCCCATAGCTATCTTATAGTTATTCTCCACGTTCCCGAAATCCTAGTGTACAAGGAACACAATATGGGCATCTTCTATAACATTAAGTGCAACTTTCTTTTTCTTGGAATGTACTTATTCATCTTTCTTTAAGTCATAAACTTGCTCCTCAAGTTTATTCCTCCTGTCTTTTCTCCAAGATACACCCTTGCTCTTCAAGTCTACACGACTCCAGCTCATAATCTTGACTCCACATGGTTTTCACCACTCAACACAGTGTCTGCTTCAGCAACTACGTCAACAAATATTTCAGGGCGGACATCTTACATCAACAATCTCCCCCTTTTAGCTTCGTGTGCCCATCAAGCACAACATTCTTCTGTTTCAACAACCACGTTCCCCATAAGGAAATTTTCATACCAAATGTACTTTTCTCCCCCACGAGATGTGCACCACACCATGCTTTTCTCCCCCATGAGATAAGCACCATCTACTTCAGAACGTCCATCACCATTCTCTTTTCCCCCATAAGATATGCACTCCTTGGACCAGAACTTCACCACTTCTCCCCCTGCTGGATTGCATACTAAGCTAAAACACAGATACTTAGATGTCAAGCTTTTCATCACAGTAATCATGATACAGCCCCTGCTGCAGCGGAATAGATTACAAGTACTGCATCACGATCTGACGCACTTGTTAAATTACCTTTCGACCCACTTCTATTGAGGACTTGGCTTCCTTCATGCGTCGTCTCTTTGACCATGAGCCCCTCCTCATCTACACCGAGTGCCCTCTGCACTCGTTGCTATTGTTTTGGAGTGATTTCACTATCACCCTCTTGAAGATCATCTCGCATCACTTCCTGACACACTTTGATCTCCTTCCCCTTTGAACCACAAACAACTTTGTGACCTGACTTCAGACTTGATGCTTCTTGATCAACCTCAAGAGCACTCTCCCTAGAGCTGCACCCTTCTTCTGATGTCCCTTTCTTAACCTCATCAAGTAAGCCACTCTTGGCTAAGAACACCTCTTCAACCCTCTTGGGTTTAATGAATGTCTTGTTCACCTTCTTGGCCACGTTTCTGCTTTTCTGACGAGAAAAACACTCCACCTTCTTGTGTCCAACCTCCCCACAGAACCAACAACACATCCGATGTTGCTTCTTCTTGGGCCTGAGACAGTTGCTGATGCATCGATCAGTCTCTTTCCTTGTACCATATGCACAACCATGCTTCAGAACCTCCTGCCTGACCTTCATGGTGCTGCACTGATGTACTCCCTTCGGCTTGTTACTCACAGCTACGCGCTGTAGAACTTCCTGTCGTACTCCTTGTCGTACGTCTCGACGCACTTCCTAACAAGCTTCCTTGGTTCCACTTTTCGATGTGCTCCCATGCACGAAGTGTGACAGCCCCTTCTGTTGTACTCCATTACTCTCACCTCCTCAGTATCCCAGTCCCCAATTCGCCTTGGCTGGTTGTCCCATGGAGAGTATCTTATCCAACTCCTTGGATCCACTATTGAGCATTCTGATCTGTTTGTGATTCTCAGCCAAATCACCTTTCAGCTTCCTTGCTCTCTCTTGTTCACCAGTATCAACTCTTCTCAACTTGCTAACTTCCACTTCAAGAGACTCACTCTCTTCTACAGCCACAAGTTCTTCACGAAGTTCTTCAAGCAACTCATTTTGCTTCTGAGCCACATTCTCCAATCTCAGATTCTAATCCATGACCCTCAACCACTTGTTGAACAGCACGTGATACTCCACATCATCTGTACTGCAATCTGAATTTGAGGATTCATTAGATCCCTCCTTGCGTGCATCAAATGCAACCTTGTTCTTCAACACCTTTTCATCTTCTTCAGACTCTGAATCATCAGACGACTGAGCTCCTTTTCCCTTCTTTGAGTTTGGACATTCGCGCCTTGTGTGTCTAACACCTCTGCACTCAGGACACTTAAGTTCATTTCGTTGTTCCACATGACAGTCAGCCCTCACATGACCAACTCCTTCACATTCGTAGCACTTGATAGTCTTTTCTTCTACCATCGCCACGATCACCTCCTTGACGATCATACTGATTTTTTCCACCAGAGTGACTCTCCTACCAAAATTCCTAGCCAACATACCCACAGTATCTTCAAGCTTTTGGAATCTATCACCATCTTTGTCAGTTGCAATCACTATACTCACTGGTGCACTACTTGACGTAGAGACTGAACTACTGTCTGTCTCCATCTCTTGTGCCTTCAGCATACCTACAAGCTTATCAAACTTGAGCTCATCCGTGTTTGTAGTCATCTGTAAGACTGCCTTGTGAGCTTCAAACTTCTTTGGAAGACAGCGTAGTAACTTATACCAGCTTCTTCTCCTTGTACTTCTTCCCAAGTACAAATGCTTCATGCGCCATAGCACTGAGTTTGGCACTAAAGCTCGCCACAGAATCAACATCAGACAATATGAGATTCTCAAACTGCAACCCAAGATGATCTTGGCGTGTCCTCCTCTTGACACTCTCATCTCCCTCAAAGAATTCAGTAGGATCTCCCACGCCTCTTTAGCTAAAGTACTCCCCTGAATCAATTGAAATTGTTCTGCTTATTTGTAAACTGTGACCCAAGATGATCTAGGCGTGTCCTCCTCTTGACACTCTCAACTCCCTCAAATGAATTAAGCAGGATCTCCCACGCCTCTTTAGCTGAAGTACTCCCCTGAGTCAATTGAAATTGTTCTGCTTCAACATCTCCAAAAAATCACTGATAACGCCTTTGCATTAAATTTTGATGCATTGCGCTCTGCCTCTGACCAATCCTCTTTTGGCTTGGGCTTCTTCTCATCTCTTGTG